AAGTCTACATGTTCACCAGAGTGTACTCCCTCTGTGGATTCCTATTACAGTAATATTTTGAGAGAGGAGATGAGGTCACAAATCAGAATATTCCATTGAGCTTTCTAAGCTCTGCCCTGCTCTCAGATTGTGAGACAAGCCCTTCTCCTTTTTTCAGTACAGCAGATCCTCGGGACAAATTCCCAACATGGCAATTGAGTCCTGCGTATCCTTCCAGTCTGTCTCAGTAATAACCTATATATAGACTCTGATCAAAGCAAGAAAGTCTACTTTCCACGTCCTGGATTCCCCTGTCCTCGCCTGCCTCCATGCACGGCGTGCTTTCACTGCCCAGTGTGCCTGTCTTTCCCCGTCAGCTGGGAAAACTCTTTCTTGTCTTGCTTATAGGCTCCACTCAAGCACCATCTCATCTGAAGACTTTCTACCTCAGCTGGCAGAGGCCAGGGTTTTTCCTGCTGCGCTTCCAGTAGGATCTAGTGTGTGCCTCTGTTTGAGCATTAGCATGTGACTCTAATTATTGTTTTGGCCTCTCCCACTTGTATTTCCTAAGTTTTAGCCCCTTTTGGGCTAGGAGTAGGGGGTTAATTCATGTTTATGTAATGAATCAATAATATTAGCTTTAATTTTTCCTGTGATTAATGTAGGCGCAGTACTAATTTCTGCATACACCTCATGTGATCTTTTTAAAATTTAGCAAGTAGGAATGAGTATTCACATTTGAAATACTGGGCGGTTAATCCTGAAACATATCAGAAACTTGTCAAGAGTCACACAGCTGTTTGATGGTAGGTATAAAATTTGAATACAGTATTTTTCTGCCTCTATAGACAATATTCTTAAATATTACCAAGTAGTGCTTCCCTGTAAGGTTTGGCATAGGCCTTTTCCTGCTACGGAAACATAACAGATGCCCAAGACTAGGGAAACTGAAAACAAGAGAAGTTTCTCTGCCTCATGGCCCAGGCGGGTGGGAAGTTCGTGAGCGTGGCACCAACATCTGGAGAGACTTCCTGCAGGAGAACTGGTGGAAAGGCAGGCAAGCTGCCTGAGCCACAGAGGAACTTGGACCGAACTTAACCTTTCATACAGACACACACTCTTGCAATAAGCCAGTCCCATGATAATAGCACTCATCAGTTCGTGAGGGCAAAGTCCTCTTGTTTGAATCACCTTCTAAAGCTCCTCTTTTTAATATTATTACAGGAGCAATTCAATTTTAACATGAGTTTTAGAGGAGACATTCAAATCATAGCAGCTTCATGTTGTACTTCATTGCTAATAGCAATTTCTTTTTGATGGCTTCTATGTAAACATCATTGTCATATCTGGAACATCAAGAGAGACCAGCATTCTTTCATAATTGTCAGAATGCTCCACAACCCAGTTCCGGAGCGCGTGTCCATGTGCCACACACACACATGCGCACGTGCTTTCTGTGAATGGCAGAGCACTCACATACACATCAGACCATCGTATTTGGAATGCTTAGTTTGCAAAATGGGAAATAAAAAGCACAGAATAACTATGAACCACATGCAGCCAAAATCAAGTCTCCAAAAGAGAGAGAGTCTCCTTTTAAAGGAAAACCTTATATAATTATCCCAAATTGCACGTGATTTTTAATGAGCCACAGCCACTCTTCTCTATTTCTATTTTATTTCTTGGAAAAGAGGAAAATATATTATTTATGCAGGAGGGCAACTCGCATTTCCAACCACTAACACATGGCCTTTAAACAAATAATAATCTCATTTTTCTGTTGTGCAAGAGCCCTCTCGGACAGCAATGATGTACAACATGCTGGTTTCCTGTTACTTTAGCAGAGCCACAGCTTTCTCTCACCATCAGGACTGAACGGTTACTCCTTAGATAATAGAGCTGTAATACTGACTTTCAAGATACTTCTACAATTGTGTCTGCACATTTTAAGAAATAATCATATCAGTTTGTTAATAAGCAGAAGTGCTCTACAAGCTGAATCTGTCGTCACAAGCGGCTGACAAACATACAAATCAATCTGTGGCCAAGCAAGAAACAGTATGTTTCGTGTGTTTCTGAGACATGGTGGTTGGGTTCACAGCTGTAAGATATTGGACAGTCATCAAGAGAACAATGTCAAACACTGAACTTCTGGATGATTTCCATAAAAATAACATTTTGTTTGGGGTCAGTAATTTTTATGCAACTTTGGAATTACTCTCGTTGACAATTTTTTAGAGTTGAACTTGAACACCTCCAAAAAAGTTGCTCTAATGGAAATATTATGTAATCCAATCTTTGCGACCATCTCTTTCTGAAAACCAAATACAGCCCAGGAAAACCAGCATTGCCCTCTTTCAGTTGGTGCAGCTTTATACAAGTTAAGTTATGCTACATATTCAGATAGGTAAATTTATTCTTCAGTGTTCTTTGTTTAGTTACTACATTCAAGTCAGCTCTTCAAGTGTGTAATAATTAAATCCAGTGAGGAAAAAGGGCCATGGGCTCCATCTTTAGCAACCTAGCAACACAGTAGTATTCTTGCTTTGTAGTTTTTGTTTATAATTAGTACTTGTCTGTATTCCTTCTGGGGCGTTGGTACTGGATGGAACACATCCCAATTCTTTTTTAATCTTCTTCCCTATTCCTCCCTTTGGCCTCCCTCCATCTCTTGATTCCTTTCCTATTTGAAAAAGATCTGTTTCTCTGCTTCCTTTTGTCTCGTAGCGTGCTTTTTATGCATCCTGTGAACTCAAACCCTCGTGCTTGCCAGGCAGGTACTTGCACCACTGAGCTGTATCCCCAGCACCTTGCTTTTTATTTATAATTTAGGTTTCTCAAGTTTATCTTCCTTTATAGCAGATAATCAAAAAAGGGGCAAGTAAAATGGATAGATATTTTTCTGAAAGAAAGAAGCACGAATGGCCCATGAATGCATGACAAACTGTTCAACATTGCTGGCCATCAGAGAAATGCAAATGAGAACACTCCTGAGATTCCATCTTATTCCAAAAAGAATGTCCACCATCAAAAAATCGAATAATAACAAATGCTGGCAAGGCTGTTGGGGGAAAGGAACCTGTCTACATTGTTGGTGGGAATGGAAACTAGTACAACCACTATGGAAATCAGTTGGAGATTCCTCAAAAAACTAAAACTAGCAATATCCTTTAAAATGAAAAGGATAATTGAACTGGCATTTCAGTGGGTGGGTAGTCCATCTCAAAAATAATTTTTTGCTTGTCTCTACATATCCCAAATAACTTGATATTTGCTTCAGTCTGGTCTGAATTTTCATTTCTATTAAGTGTATGTCTAGAGTTCAAAATTTGGTAATGTGTTATTTTGAACCCAACAAGTCAAGCTTTAAAGTAGTTGGAAGGTTTTGTAAAAATAGTCCCATGACAAAGCCAGTTGTGGCATGAAATCATTCATCCAAGGAGACTGTATTGGGCTCGTATCCCTGTGCCATATTAATAATACTGCTCCCTAGGATTCCGTAACCAGAGCTCAAGGAGAAAATGAGCCAAACCACTGAATTCAACATTTGCAGCCTGTTTCAAGACACGAAAATATTTTGGATCTGTGAAGCAAATAATTTTTCCAAAATACTTTTGCTCAAAATCTCTTATTATGGACAAATTTCAGATTTTACATGGCTTAGTATATGGGAATACATACTGAGAATCTGCCCTACACTGAAGAATAGTTAGTTCTTCAGCTTCATTCACTAAGATATTGATTTGAGTATAAGTAACTTCTTATTGGGATATAGGTGTTAATGAATGTTATTGAAATCACGCCCTCAAAAATTGCTTTACACTGTTGATTATAAACATTAAAATGTTTACATAAAATATCTAGTTAAAGAAATAAAAGCTGTACTTCCAATTTAGTGTCAGGCTCTTGTTCTTTGATCAAATTCCTCTTTCCTTAGAGCTCTCAGGGTTCTCTGTGTTCAATGGAATAAAATTCAGTTCTTCACTGATACCATATTGGGGGTGAAATGCCCTCCTACCTCAAAAACTTTACAGGCT